ACACTAATAAGTAGCCATTCGAACTCTGTAAATGGTTAAATACTTTAATAGGCGGAGACACCACACTTACAAAGTGCAATATAATTAAACTACAAATCCAGATGTATAAAATAATTATGCATCTTCGATGTAGAACTAAACAAACTTGCTAGACTGATATCCTCAATAATTCTAAACTGACTTGTGATGTGACGTAGTTCGACATGCATACATTGCCATGAGTATTAAAGAACAAAACTCAGTACAACTGTTGCAGCTAATGACCCATATTGCCCACGATCCTGAACTACCTATCTAATATGTTCAATAGCTGTGCCCTACCACTCTAATAATGTAGACCAATCATTGTGGAAAAGACATACGGTTTCATTGTATGCATATGTAACTAAATACGAGTATATTTATAAATATAATTATGTACTCGGTTTTACTTCTCATAGTAGTGATAAATAATTAAATAATATAAGTATCGCATACTCACGTATCGATTTATTTTACAATTATTGTAATGTATGTCTAATCCACATTTCATTATGCCACTGACTTAATAAGTAAATTCAACATGCAACGCTAGAAATATAATAATTTAATTAATTGTGATTGTCATTAAATTATGCTTGTTTGAATAATCTCCCGACAAGAAGTCGATCTGATATGTGATACTGATAACTGCAAATCAATGGGATACCGCAACACCTATGGAACACCTCGCACACTTGCCTGACTCTGGGCGAATTAAATCTATGAACATGCATTAAACGACTAATTAAAATATGCTCCGTACTAACATTCTATATTTACGAAACTAACGATATATTTAATCTTTTTTTTGTCAATTTAAATACGCTTTATCGTGTAAAAATAGTTTTTTGAGACAAAAATGTCGAAGCGCTTTAAAGACCATTGCGAAAAACAAAACAGTAAACTAAATTATACCAGAAAATGTTAATAATGCCCGACGAGCGTATTTGTATTGAAATATATGTATTAATATGCTTCAACTAATTTGAAAAAAAAAATAGTTTTGCAAAAAAAATTATGGACGGCAAATAATGACCATTAATGTCTCCCCAAAAGTTACCTACTTCATTAATCCTGTGAATGTGTTGAAAGAACAGTATTACGTGATGTGAAAATTAAACACATCAAAATTTTATAAAGATATATTTTTAACTGTATTTTTATTATGGAAATAGCAAGAAATATGTAGAAAGAAAGTTAGAAATAGTCAGAAGTAGAAAGAAATAAAACATTGATTCTGCAATCTACGGAGAAGTCCACATGCACGTTTTATAATCTAATGACGTAGGATAAACTCTTTCTAATTTTTAAGTCTGATTAACGAGGTAGTAAAAATAAATAAAATTTAATAAAATAATGTGAATTGAGTAGACAAAATTGGACGCGATAGAGAGAGATACTGCAAAGATACTCGTCCAATAACATAATCATGCAATTTACTTTCTGATAAAAAGAAGACTGCTTTGAAACCACCTTTCTCTTATGATGTTAAAGCATTCGTATCTTTACAGTATATTCCTTATAATCTATATACGTACCTAACATAAACCTAATCAAAAAAACGCTACGAAATGCTATTCCCTAACAAACACGCAAAAAAACGAAAACTCAAAGTGCATTATTAACGAGTTGGTAACAGCAAAACTTTTGTGCAGAGGATAGTTCTGAATATGAATATCGAACAATCAAATAGTCTATTTAGGAAATACCAAACAACCATTTTCCTGATTAAATTCTGAACATATTTTTGAAGTCACTTAAATAGTAATCCTTAACTTTGATCTGATTGTAACGTCCTTCAATTTAAACTAACTAGCATTCTAAAATTTACTATCTACTGAATGCTGAAACATTCACACTTAATGAATGCACATAAACATCTAATTTTATAAAGATATTGAACTAAAACTACTTGATGCTTAGGCTGGCAACAAATTTCATTCCATAGTCAGACTTTCCTTCAATCTAGAATATGCACAGGAGTTCATAAACTTACACACTCTTTGAAGTTTGCAAGAAAAGAGATCATACTTTAGATAATATAACATCATGATACATGTCCAGTCCAGGGCAAATAGCACTAATTTGCTCAAGCTGATTGTCCAAATGTCTCGTTCATGTATATGTATTTATCATTGAGAGTCCAAATATATTGTATTGCAAACTTTAAAAAGGTAATCTAAAAAACATTTATGGTTCAGCTACATTTTACGACAGCTGTTCGACGGTTCGACTCCGACCTCTTAGTTAATATTTCCCGTATTTTTGAAGTAGAGCACAACCAAAGCCCGCTGATACAGTTTACTCTCTGAACATTCACTTGTTTACTTGATTGAGCAATTTATACTAGCGTATTACGATATTCAAAAAGACACGACCACGCAAACTATCGGCAAGTTAATAGTTTTTACTAAACATGCACAACTTTCATTTATACTTAATGTACCACCACATCAATTACAACATTATCCTTGCGAATAGACATACATATTTCTAAATCTCGTAATATTTATTATAAAATGATATTTCAGTATTGCTTTCATGTTAGGAGACTTTCTAGCACTTTACGTTTAATATAATATACACAATATTATCGTGTGTCTTATTCTATAAAATTCAAATTTTCAGCGTGTCAATTGTGATAAATTCAGTAACTTTAACCCGCTCGAATGTAATCAACGCGAAGATGTTGAAACTAACAATTGTTATTTAGCAGATGATAAAATTTGAACAATATATCTTCGACAAGATATTGTTGCGGTATTCATTTGTTGCCAGCACACGCTTCATACACATTATTATTTAAATATATTTCAGAGGCTCTCAACGCTACTACGCATTACCATATATTTTATATATAATATGTATTATAATAAAAACGTGTAAATAAAGTCACTATAGTTAATAGAACGCACGTCTACATATCTTCGCGAGACGTTATTACATTAAACATCATGAAACTGCAAATTTCGACAAGAGAATATCAAAAATAGTGTATCGACGGTCATCGCCTACATTCTGTCTAATAATCTGTAGTCTAATGACGCTATTTAGGTCACTTGAAACATCTTAAGCCAATTCATGTAATATGGACTATGGTTACAATTTTGAAATTCCGTATTTTCGTCGCAATACTTAAGTTCCATTCACAAAAATAACTTATAAATCGACTACAATTAAAAGTCTTGATTTAATAAACATATAATATATCTTGTAGTCGTTTATAAGTTATAGCAGTCAGTATTGGTGAATGTAACGTTGCGTACTTGACGTTAACCCAACCAAAAATCAAATAGCACAATTCCTGCTAAAAATAAAACAAATAAAAAGTATAAATAATAGCGCATCGCGATCCTAATCTTCCAAATGATATAATGAAATTCGCATTACACTAAAAAAGGATGAAACGCATACAATAAATGAGTGACGTACTATTTTCTAAAAGCTTACAAAATGATAGAGATCTTCACGACAAAACCGCTAAGTGGACACTGATTTCATTAAGTAATTAACGCCCGAATTTCTACGTCTTATGACTTTTTAAATGTCCACACCATTTGATCAAGTCCTGTTATACAATTTGAATTCCTTTACACTTATGCATATTATACTAACTGTTGAATTAACTCTACCACTAATGGCTTCTATAGAGGGTTAGCATGAAAATAAGCATCGCAATTCATTATTATTTCTCTAAACATAGTTAATTCTTCTTATATCATCAGATGCCCACCTAGCAATTAGAATTAACTAAAAGCAGCAAAATGCTAACCACAACTGAAACATTTCGACTCAAAACTCCAATATTGGATATAAGTTCCGATCCTGATTAACATTCTCCATGATTTCGTTATCATTTAATACCTTTTACGCGAATGCAGTCAAAAGGTTCTAAAACCTCATACGTAAAAAGACATTAAAATCCAACTTATGTCTTACATTAAGCTATTCAAAGAAAAAAAGAAAACTAAATGAGCTACAGTTGAGAAGTTCCATTGGGTCACCAAATACGGATCTTCAAAACCACTGACTAGTTCAAGTGTGTCAAGATTATTAAAAATCCACGGAAAAACAAAAGGGAATTCAAGGTGATTTTGTGCAATGCCTTACAAAATAAGCAATTTAGAAGATGGAAGTGGTTAACATCATTTATAAGAAGTCACACTGCACAATCTAAGAAAAACAAGTTAAATGTTGCTAAACTCCCCAAGTAGCAATGGTGCAAACATGAACTCCTCTTACAATAAACTCCGATAACAACCAAATCTCAGACTATTTAAGCACAACCTTCAAATGAGCTTGAATGTTTCTCTCATGTTAGTAACGTGAATTCAAACAACAATGAAGTTATGATTATGAATGTTCATTCTGTTCTCTGACACAAAAACGGTTTCATGAATGCCTTGAAACGATTATACAAAGAAATGTATGAATGTGCAAAAATGCTGAACATATATTAGGAGTTAGCAACATTTCATGTGATCACCGATACTTTCCGTTTGTGTTTACACTGAGATCGATTACCCTCAAAGTCGAGTGTTACTATTACTAACAGAGGTTATATCTTCTCAAGTCGGAATTATATTATTTGTAATTTAAGTTTACATGCACGACATCTTTTGATTTTCATGTCCCGATTATATTTACGAATTACTATTTCAGATTTATTATAAGTATTTTCACATCACTTATAATTTTCATCAACGATTAGAAATATCTCAAGTCCCAATTACTAGTTACTAGCTTAAAGTATATTATAACCTCTCAATCGTGTAAAGTGTATTAACAATACATCAATCATTCAGTACTGATAGAATCATTTCCGTAGTAAACAAGAACTCAAATTACAAATAACACAATATATAATATAGTTAAATATTATTCTGTAGATGGTATACGAGCCGATAACGCGGCCATCGCCTGTGTTGTGACAGTTTGCGCGCGGTACACCGCACTCTACAAACTATCGGCTGCCGACGTCATTTGCCATTTGTCTGCAGAGCTGCGTTCAGCTGCGTCCACAGATCTTTCTTGCACGATTTTGACCTGCAAGTGAACATTACACCCTTTATTTCTTCAATGTTATCATAGTGTGTTCTTCTTTACGGGTTAAAAAGAACATTAAGGGATATCCAAAACTAATAAGCGTCGACACTTGAAGGTAACGTAATATTACCATTTAACAAATTAATTTCTTACATCCATGCATTCCTCATCAACATTAACAGCCAGTATACATCCATTACAACAAAACACTAACCTTGTTAAGGACTCAACAGATAATGAATTCGACAGATAAATGCCACAGTCATAACGCAAGCAGTTGGAAGAATGCGAAATATTAAGTATATAGGCATTTGCTGCCGGAAAATACTTAAAACATTCCATTTTAAAAATAACTTCTCCAACATATAAATAAATATAATGTCCTGCAAATTAAAACTTTTTTTTTTCATTCATAGGAATATAGCAAACATTGATGCATACATTCAAATACTGTTGTCTGTACTACCAGTAAACAACTCACTACGGTTCGTAATGTTTGTAATATTATACACATTTTGGGCACATGAAGCAACAGTAATGTCCTTATAGTTTGTGTCGATCTATCGTAGCCAGCCAGCAGACGGCGCACGACCATGCAATATTTTGTGTGTACGAGTACAGAAGTACTCACACTTTTAAGTAATGTCAGTTCACAATCTGATGGAGGTGAGTTAACTTCCACACTTATCTGGGAGTAAAAAAAATATAGGTTTAAGCTGCTTACCATCACATGCAAGTTTTTTAAAATAGTCTTATAGAGACGGGTTAGTGTTGTCGAGTGTAATGAAAAATGGCAACTACCAATAGGATATAATTTATATTGTTTTGGTTCTGAAATTATATCTGGCTGATGGGAAGCCTGGATGTTTCATCAATTAAAAATAAGAACTAAAATTATTATAGAGATAAACATAATAGTGGTAACTCCTAGAATCTCGATATATTCAATGTTAATTTAAGCAATATTTTTGGGATGTTAGTGTATGTGTGTGTTTACTTTGCGATGACATGTTACAGACCTGCGCAGTGAAGCGAGCCACTCCTTGAACTGTGTGTTTCCTTCAGGCGTGAGCTGGAAGGCGGTGCGGGCCGACAATACGATGCTCACGAACTCTTCATATTCCACTGTAGTTAGGTGGTATAGCTTTTGATGGATGCATTGAATGTACCTGTTGGAAATGAATATTTTATAGTATATCTTGGTTAGTGATATGGTTTTTGAGATGGCTCTTAGTCTCCGAAATAATAAATTGGAGTTGCACATATTCTACACCCAATGTTTACATTTTACCATACACCAGGCAACATCTCAAGGTCTGTATTACTACTGAGAATTTTTGAAAACTTGCTGTTGATTTTTCAATCAACAGACAGTTTACTATAGTTATTAGAATATAATTGACGTCTGACAGTTTTAGTATGGAAGGATTGTCGAAAATAGTAATGGTACTCGAGTAGGGTATTCGAGTTTTGGTTAAATGTATGTAGTGTGTCCTTTAAGTTGTTCCAGTACGGATCACGATGAATTATTCAACGAATTAAAACAAAGTGCATTTGAGAGACATATCCGTACATTTGCTGGCACTTCTGCACGAGCGGCGCGAGCGTGCCGCGCAGGTGCTGCATGACGAGGTGGTGCGGGCCGCCGCGCGCCAGCCAGTGCGCCGACTCCACGCACAGCTCGTACAGCACGAAGGGCGACACCACCGAGTTCACCGCGCACACGCAGAACTGGTGCAGGTACTGCGCGCCCAGCCGCTTCGAGATACGGAGCAGCCACTTCACGTGCTCGCCGTATGGCGGGTTCCTAAGCAAGTACATATATATATATAGTAGTTATAAAATTACTAAAGAATTTTTGTATTTCTACAGCAATCACATTTTGAGTAAACTCTTGTACGCTATAAATTTCAGGAAAAAAGGGTATTTTTCGAAATTTTGTACGAACTAACATTGATAACTTATAACTTCTTCACCACAATTTAACACGAAAAATCAAAAACTAATTTTAAAACGAAATAAATGAATAAGACTATAATAATTATTTTTCGATACTTTAGTAGTTAAAAAATATTATTTATGACATTACGCTGAAACAATAGGCAGTAGACACCGAAGCTAAAGCTAAGCCTTACCTGCCAAACTTATTTTGTGGACGATCATCATGTACGCGGCGTGCTTGCGTCTCCAAGGCCAACATTCCGACGCGGTAGGCAGCGAGCAGCCGCCGCAGCTGCGTCTGGTTGACGTTGGGCGCGGCGGGCTGCGCGCCGGCCTGCGCGCCCGCGCCCACGCCCGCCACGCCGCCCACGCCGCCCACGCCGCCCACACTGGCCACGCTCACTGCGCTGCCCGACACACCCGCCACTGGCACCATCTGCTGCGGCCCTGGTAGCGGCGGCGGGATTGGGGCTGGGTGCTGGTGATGAATAGTTATCAATTTTGTTATTTTAGATAGAAATATTTGTGTTTGAGTAGAAGTTGCCAATGTTGTAAAACAAATAAAATAATTTTGAAAAGTGGAGTAAGAAGATCAGAGATACTTACAACTTGATGAACAGTAGCATTGACTGTTATAGTTTGTGGTATCGGGGTGGCATGTGTAACATGTTGCGCCATGGGCGGGTGCTGGGCGAGGGCTGGATGCTGCATCGGTTGGTGTTGCATCGGTTGTGGATGTGGTATCGGTTGCGGATGCTGCTGTAGCGGTTGAGGATGTTGCTGCAGAGGCTGTGGGTGTTGCTGCAGTGGCTGCGGGTGTTGCTGCAGCGGCTGTGGGTGTTGCTGCAACGGTTGCGGGTGTTGCTGCAACGGCTGTGGGTGTTGTTGCAGCGGTTGCGGTAGTGTTTGTAGTGACGGGTGTTGCTGTAACGGTTGATGTTGTTGCAGCGGCTGGTGAGGTTGCAGTGGTTGGTGTGCTTGTAGTGGCTGGTGTTGCTGCAGCGCTTGATGCTGGGGGTGTTGCTGTAGCGGCGCGTGCTGCGCGTGTTGCTGTAGCGGTTGATGCTGCGCGTGCTGCGGGAGCTGCGCGTGCTGCGGGAGCGCCGCGTGTTGCTGGTGCTGCGGGTGCTGCGCGAGCGCGGGCGCGGCGGCCGGCGCCACTATACCACGGACAAAGTACGGCGGCAGCGCGTACTGCGGCGGAGGATGTGGAGGACCTGTGCCTGCGTACTGGAAATTAAAAAATATCATGAAATTTTGTTCTCTGCGAAATTATTACAATTTACTAAACATTTCGATATCTTCTTACCGGAAGCTGGTAGATGGTGGGCGGGTATGGATGGTACGTGAATGGGTAGGGAATGGGGTAGGGTACTGGTACGGCGAGGGGCGGTGGCTGGGCGCGGTACTGTGGCTCGTCGAGTAATGGCTCGGTCTCCTCGTTGGCCTGTCGGAGGTAAAGCTCGTGCCAGTAGCGGGCCACTGTATACAATACCTCGGGATACACGCCACCACCTGCAACACAAAAATGTATTACAATATCAATAATAGTTTACTTAAAACTACATGGTCACTTATAACAAATTATAAGCCTTGGTGTAGCTCGAAAGTAGTCGAACACCTGAATAATCAAATTCAATAAATTTTATTGGACTTCAAATAAAAGGGAAGTTAAATATATGCAACAACTGATAAAACTACACAGGCATTATCTTTCTTCTACTATCTTGGTACAATACCTTTAGCGGCAGCTTCAACAGTAAGACAAGCCCTCTCGAGCATGGAATCGCTTTGTTCCTTGCATTGCAATACGGCACGCTGTATCTCGTTGTAGTTGAGCGCATGCGCGTGAGGCAGCACCGACAGGGCCAGCTCTGCCGCCGCGCGGACTGTAGGCACGTCGCGGCCTGAAGACGCCTAGGAGACACAAGATAAATATTTCATTAGAAAACATAAGGACATCAGCACGGTTAGCGCAACATAATTTTAAGAATTGGACATTTGCGACGCATGGGACGCGTGCAACACAGTATATTTTTCTCCTGTGTTGTGGGTGCGTGTACAAACATACAAGTTCACATACACATGACAGCCAGACCCGGAACAACAATCTATTAAAACTATTATAATGCTGCAAAATATATGCTTACTTTATCAGCGATACTAGCAGCTTCAGGCGGGGTTAAATGTCCTTCCCATGCGTCAATCAGGAATAAAATAGCAGGTGCGCCAATATCCATCGCTTGACCTATAACATAAAATAGAATTAAAACCAAATCATCGTTATTTCTTAATGTCTATTCCAAGAAAAGTACTTACCTGTAATCCAACTAACGTGAGATGAATAAGTGCGACTGAGCCAATTCGCACTCACACAGTTATGTAGGCCGAGGGCGTAAAGCCCCAACTGAAACGCGGCCATGTGTAAACCTCTGTAAAATAAATCGAACCATCTTAGTCCATACTTAAAGTGCTATTTAAAGTTATTTATTTTCTGAATAGTTCATTTCTTGCAAAATTTTATGCATTTTTGGCCGATGTGTATACCTGTGAGGTCCATGGTGTTCCCTTGCACACGAGGGTTGTGTAAACAAACTAGTGCTGGATGACCCACCAGCTTTGAACAGTACAGATTTGGCCAACTCGAACATAAAGTGCGCGGAAGCTTCGGATGGCTGGTTGGGCACCGAAGGGTACTGGCGCTTGCCTTTATATCTAAAAACACAAACAGTACGTTTTACACGACATTCACGCCAAATATAGTAAAAAATGAGTTTATTGGTAACACAAAACAATATTAACCTGGAATCCTTGGCCCTGGAGATAGGCGTGTGCGTGGAAGAAGCGTGGGGCACAGGATGCGGCGTATGAGACGCGTGCGATGCGTGCGACGCGTGGGACGCATGCGACGCGTGGGACGCGTGCGAGGCGTGCGACGCATGCGACACGTGGGACGCGTGGGACGCGTGAGACACGTGCGACGCGTGAGACGCATGCGACACGTGTGACGCGTGAGACGCATGTGACACGTGCGACGCATGAGACGCGTGCGACGCGTGAGACGCGTGCGACGCATGGGACGCATGAGACGCATGGGACGCGAGCGACGAGTGCGCGGGAGGCGACGTCCCGTCCTCCGTCACCACCAGCCGCTCCAACTCCGCGCTCAGGCACACCGCCTGCACACGCCAGTCATACGTTGCTAAATGCGTGCCACTCTACAGACGCCACTTCACATTAGTTAAGCAGGATTCATTTTGTAACACACATTAGCATAAGCGTTTACTAGGACAATCACAGAATTAGAAATTCACTCTTAACGATCACAACTAATACAGACACGAGAACAGTATAATACGGTGCATCTGTTTTATTATTAGGTTGTGTTGCATCGTCTATCTTCAATCGGTGTGAAGCAGAAACGTATCGCTCTAATTAAATAGCGAAATCTTTACCAGCTGAAGTTTATTCTCGGCACCTGTCTGGATTAATAAGACTTACAAAACCAGTTTTTGACAAAAGATCACTGGCGTACAGGACGAGTATGTTACCTGAGGTGGCATAGTATTGGGCGCGTGCGCTGGGAGCGGTGCAAAGGCGGGGTGCGGCGCGACGTCCGCGCGGTAGGCGGCCAGGCGCGGGTTGTTCATGTAGTACAGGCTCACCATCGGACTCTTCGTCAACTGGTGGATCTCGCGGTCCAGCAACTACACAAGCGACGACACAAGAAAATTTAACATTACCGGGAGTCTCCGAGACACTTTCTAAGAAGTTTGATTAAAACTTTTCAAAGTTTAGATAACACAAAGCTCAATGATAGCTTTCATACATACTTTGTTCATAATCCTAGCAAGTTTGACAGGATCATCTTTGTAGAAAGACAAAAGCGTGAGAGACAACTCTCCACGCTGTCTTCTCGTTCCCTCACATAGTAGAGGATGATCTGCTTCGGATACATTGGCTTTTAGACCTAAAGCTGCAACAGCAGCTTCGAAGCCTAGTGTTTCATCATTTGGCGACCTTGCCTGATGAAAAGAAAATTATAACATTATTGTGTGTATCACAGTGGGTCTACACATATGTGAATAATTAATTTGTGTCGTTTACTTACGGGATGTTTATTCTCTTTATCAGTAGCAGATAAAACCAACACATCGAATAGGAAGCTCGCTAACGCTATTGGCAGCAGTGCTGGTCCGCGGTTCCTACGAAATTTCAATGATCTTATTACTTAAGGTAATTTGATTCATTATCATATGTGTTATTTAACTTTAAATTCGTAGCATAAAGTTCCACTTACCTTAGCGTACCGTCGCGCAGTTGCTCGGCTTTCTCTCGAGCTAAAGCCAATTGTTCGGCGCCAGTCGGAAGTTTCTTCAGTAGAGACACCAACTCCGTTTCTTGGTTATTTAGTTTTACTTCCAAAGCCTTAGTACTCGCCGGAGGTCGAGCCATTTCAAGTGCAAACAGACCTACCCGGAAGGCAAGCTCGTGGTGTTCGCTGAATTCTGCTAATACCTATCAAATTGAAATGTAAATCTTAATTTTCATAATTATCCTTTTTTGTATATTACACCAGTTTAAGCTGTGGGAGATGGAAAACAAAATTCATATTTCACATTTGGTACCGACCGACAAATTAGTTACATTATTATGTCCAAATATTCAAACGCCACTTAAAGTCGCGCTTAAGTATAGTTCTGTCAGTACAAATTCTTTGTAAAATGACATGGCGCGATATTTAAGTACAATAACGGTAATATTATCACACAGTATTGCCGCGAAGCGCTGTCTCCTCGCAACCCAGCCATCGCGAAGGACACTCTGGGCGTCGGGGATCGCGGGATTATCTCTGGCCACCGTAAGCGCGGACCTGCGGACGGCGAGCATGGGTGGGTGGTCTCCGTCCGACCAGAAACAGACCCGAGCGTACGGCGCGTCGCGTTCCGCGCGCGCCTCAAGGAGCCATCAGACCACCACGGATGGGGCTCAAGGGGGTTGATGCCGATTTGGAGTCGCGGATAAGATAGCGGGTTACCGGGCTCCGGCGCGAAGTGCAGGATTAGGAACGGGGTGGTTTTTAGATTGTAAATATCCTTTGTTTTATATGAACATAAAATACCTTGTATAGGTATTGAATAGGAAGTGTTTAATAAAAATGCGTGTTGTTTTTTTATTGGTAGATTTAATTTTAAAAAACATGTTGTTGTTCGAAAAGCACTGGCTTTATTTTACGACCGAAAAATATTTGCAAAAAAAAATACAAACAAAAACAGCATATTTCCTACTCGTCATATAATAATCTCGTCATCGGCCAAATCGAACATATGTACTCGAACTGATTTTTAGAGAATCGATTTTTCAGAATATCACTCGGTTAGCTCGCGTTTCGTCCGTTTGAATGAAGTTGCAATACTGTATGATATTATTAGTGGTACAATTTAAAAATGAATTAGCCTTTCAGTGTTCTGGCGTATACTTTAACTAACGCATTAACTATATAATGGTACGTGGCTAAACTACACGCTACTCTTGAAATTGAATTTGTTATTGGCCCGATATGGGGGAGCAAATTTAGATTCTTGTTGTCAGGAGTCATTAGAAAAAAATTTTTCCATAGTATTGCATATTTTTTTCTGTTTTTGCACTTTAAATACTTCGTAGTCGTGAGTCGTACACCGCCTATTATATTTAAACACTTTGCTAGCAAGAAGTTATCGGCAGTGGCGATTGGTTTTTTTAAAGGATTGTTTTAGTAGGATATATCTACCTTTTACATTCGAAATGGTTTTGAGCTGGACCTATAACATACTTAAGATTCGTTGAACACTGAAACTAAAATGATAACCCTGTTAAATCGGTAAAACCAAAGTTATACAGCCGGCACATTGGATTTTTCTGAAAAATTCGTCCCCCTGAAATGTACTCACAGTGCCGAGGAAGGCGCACTTTGAGAGCGTCGCGGAAGTAAAACATAAGAGGCGATGCGTAGCCAGTCTAGGGCTGAACGTAAACCGAAGTCTCGGCCGTCTCGGGTCATACTGCCCGCGCTGCACGCCGCCCAGCGGGACCGGCCGCGCCAACGTCTAAACCGGTACAAGTTTTAGGAAAGACAAAACAATCGTTACGTACTTACGCCGACCAATGTGCAATTTGCGAGCGTGGTGGACGACACACACAAGAGGCGATGCAAGGCGGTGCAGTCTAGGGGCGGGAGTATCTTCCAGCGGCGCGGTCCGGCGGCGCTGCGTCACGGAGAGAGCACGAGTCGGGGTACTTACCGTGCAGAGGAAGGCGCACTTGGCCAGAGTGGCCGAGGCCAGGCACGACAGGCGGTGACTGGCGGCGCACAGGCGAGGGCTCGGCGTGTGGCGCCGCCGCGGCTTCTTCGGGTCCAGGGACGGCAGCATGTTGGCGCCGCCCAGCGCCGGCGGCCGCGCCAGCAGCTCCCGCGCCAGGCGCGCGCCCAGGGCGCAGGCATCGCGCGCGTGCCCGTGCGCGTGCAGGCCCTCGGCGCGGGCGAATGACCCCTCCCACCCGCACGCCCAGCCCATGCCGCAAGAACTGCTTGCACCCACCGACTGTAACACAAACACGTTAGTCCCCGAGATGGTATTACCTCTTAAATACTGACTTTGCTAACATCTGATAACTTACAACAACGGTTCCTGAGCTAGTTCCCTCGTCGGCCACTGCCCTCCTGGCAGCAGCAGTGTCGTAGAAGTACAAGTTACAGTCATCATCGGAAACTGACTCATCGTTAGAAACGCGACGTTGAGCGTCATCAGACGATATGGGGGGAGAACTTGACTCCTGAGAGTCTGTGTCACCACCACTCTGCTGTAGGATTTCCTCTTCGTTCTCACAGAAACCTTTACAGTACGACAAAAATGTTCGTCATTAGATTTGTTGAATTGGTATAGGCTCAGCAGACTGTACTGTCTGTACTGCCTTGCTAAACAAAATGGACACAGGAATTCTTAGTTCATTCTTAGCATTAATTATATATCTTTACTCTAAACTCTTTATTTAATTCCATATGTTTGGGTTTTTTGCAATGGTAATATTACTACAAAGCAACAACAAATACTTGCCTTCAGACGAGACACTAGAGTGGTTGCCATCGCTGGGTCCAGAGTCGCGTGGTGGATCACTAGGTCCTTCCTCAGATCCACAAGGCTACAAACAAATACACAACATATAAAAAAAACTCTTCTTTTACTCATGTTCAAATGACTAATAGACAACGCACAGCCGAAACTACTGGTCGTAGAAAGCTGTTATAATGACATATGATTTTCTTTGAAAAATGTTTGGGAGCAATATGATATTTTCTCAGATTTCTATGGAAATCAGAAAAATCTGGCTATTAATGCGCGAATGAAATGATGAGCAGAAACTACCCAATAAAATTATAGAATATCTAAAGCTGAAATAGTTTGTTTCATTTTTTAATAACAGTACCTGACTTGATGGGCCAGGAATCGCTAAGTCAACTGCAATATGACTATTTCTAAGAACAGTAGTACGATGGCCGTGCAGAGAGGGATCAGGATTCGTAAGTCTATAACTTAGTGACATCTCGTTATTCAACACTGCTTTAGACGAATTTACCTGGAACATACATAATTTTATGCAAGTGTACTCTATGGAAACTATTATGTTGTAATGTTCATAGTTGGCATAGATGACGAATGTAAGAAGACGTATGGAGAACTAGAGCTAAATAAATAAATTAGCATGTATATATTCTGCTGCAGGCTAAACGCCACTTTTAAAGCTAAACTTGGCCAAATATAATAAGCCAAACTAAATGAATCTACTCCAATGCTCTGCAATTTTTAATGAAAACCTACCGAAAGTCGGAAACCTGATCAAAACCTAAAACCTTCAAAGTTGTCTGATAAATATGAAAATAATATTATAAAAAAACAATAAAAAAGTACAATTTTCAGCGAAATTACACTATTAATCAAATAACTTACGAGGTAATCAGGTTTTAGTTCTTGAACAGTTGTGCATTAACCACCCACAGCCCACAAGCTATTATAAAACCGACATACCTGATGCACACTATCATTCTGCTTGTCCGCATGTCTGAAGATAGTGAAAGGGCTATGGTAAAGGGGGTTCAAGTCTTTAGTATATGTGACGCCCGGTATCTGATAGTCGTCCCACTCTAAGAAGCAAGCTTCCATTGCTGGGTGAAAGCCGGGAAAAACTTCGTTCTCACTTATGCCGTTGATGTAAGGAGAATGTGAGTGAGAACGCGACGAGTGACGACTGTGTGACGACGAACTTGCTGGTATATGAGTATTACGACTCTTCGCCACCTGTTTCAAATAGGACAATCGTGGGTTAAAGTTTGATTGTCTAATTACATAGACGATGATTGTGGTTGATGTGTAGAATAGTGATGTATTTATTTGCAAAAGTATATGTAAACACGGTTTAGTTATAGCAGATACCAAAGTATTACAATTAAGGCCCCAGTTTTGTATTGTGTTAGATAGATTCTCTATTTATTACAATTTAAGAAGGTTTACTGATGTATAAACATAATGATGTATGTGTGATTGTGTGTATGAGCAAAATGAAGTTTAATGTTTATTTAATTGTGTTATGTATAATTATGTAGCGTTTGTATTATAAGTGTCAATTAACAAAAGTGTCACTAGTACTTACGAAATAGTGACATGATGATTTACCTTATTTACCTTATCAAGCACTTTCATGTGCCATTGTGCAAATTGTTCGTGTAGTGTGTCACGTTCGTGAGGTGCTAAAGCTGGGTTTAAAGCAGCCAAACGCCACAATACAACCACCTGTATACGGAAGAAAAAAGTTAACAATAATAACATTTTTCAGTCTCTAAAATTATGAAATTTATGTATTATGGACACATAGTATACACAGTATTTTTTCAACATAAGCAAAAAATATACTGCACCTCATAAAAATATGTTTTAGCGTGATATTATATCTAAACGGTTGTATTATCATTTATTGTTATCCATAACCAAAAATTAGCGGAGAGATCACGATGTAGGCCGAACACGTCATCATTATTTTAAGTGCAACTATACAGAGAGATACCAAAACATTGATTTTACGCGTAAAATAATGTTGCTGCGAAATAACAACCGCCGTAAAAACTTTTTCAGTCTTTCTTGGTTTTTTAATTGGTTATTTTTTTGAGATCGTAAACAATTTGAATGTACTGTTAATTAAACAATATTTGTACCTCGTCACACAGTGATGAGCAGGCATGTTGAGCGGCAGAATTCCCACCACCACCGCCATGCTTGCCGCCACCTCCGTTGTTGCCCCATGCTACTAAAGCAGCTTTAGTTGTGTACCACCATACTATAATCTGTTATAAACAAATTAACATTATGACAATTATCTAGACCATCTTCAAATGACATTTTTTAACGATTTCCTGTAGTGAGAGTAATTATAAAAACTTACCTGTTCACAGGCCATAACTTCTTCAGTAATAATTTCCAGAAGAGGTATAGCATTTCTGTCATTTCTCTTGAACATCTCTCTGACTATAGAGAGTAAGTTCCACATGCCTTCTGGCTCCCTGCCTCGTAGTGGCCTCAGCAACGACGACCATTCTGCCGCAGCGGGAGGCGCGCTTGTACTTAGATAGTTGACGTCACTGCAGGATTTTATGTAAAGATTAAAATTAACTAACCTCATGAGAAAATAACTGACATCATGCGAAGTAATATAATCGATAGTATTAAAGTCAAAGTCAAAATCATTTTTTATTTCAATTAGACCAGGAAGGCACTTTTGAACGTCAACAACAAAAATTTAGAAGTGAAGCTAGTAGTTGCTCATTCCACAGTGTAGATTCCTATGGAGAAGAACGAGCAAGAAACTCCATAGGTTACTCTTTTCCAATCGGGTTTATAATACAATTCTCTAGTTACATAGTTTTGTTGGTTCGATTATGTGAGAACAATGGAGAAGTCATAAAATATAAAAAATATTCTTGTGCCAAGTTTAATTATGAAGTACCTACATTTACCTATGAATAAGAAAAAAATTTACCTAAATACTATAGGCGTTGGAACACAGAACTTGACTAAAATCTTGTTAATATTGTTATGTAATGTCTTCTCGTCAAGGAACCAGGATGTGTACTCGTAAGCCGAAGCCCCGGCTGTAGGGTCGGGTGCACCGCATGTCGTGTTTATTGTGTTCGGCTGCGCAGACAGAAGTTCGTCCAAAATACGTTGAGCCGTTGGCAAAACTTGCCGCGGCAACTCTGATATTAAATATTGTGCGAACTTCTGCAGCTGATCTCTTCGTAACCGCTGCAATGATTCCGACACTGGTGCTCTCAAGCACACTTGAGTTGGCTAGAGTAGATAAACAAAAACAATAATTAATTGACTGATAAATTCATTTAAACAATTAACGACTTTAATCGCTTCTTCTATAAATAAGTAATTAGTAATTAATTTCCTACTCATGAAGTTTCCTGAACTGTTAATGGTACCACTCGACACTGAATCATAGTTACGTCAATAATTGTTTTAATACAAATGTAGAGAACTACAGAACATTAAGTAAAATTGCAATATACTTTGTTTCGAAATAAGTTAATGTATAAAACAATAGGCACATATTGTACCTATACATTGCAGATAATAAGTGCAGTGTATTGCTTTATTCATTGACATATTCAAATTGAGTTTTTTAATTACAGTCTGTGATGTAGAAATAAAAAAAATGTAATATGAAAAACACCAAATCAATAACACCTAATTGACTTCAAATAAACCTTGCCACATTGCCAAAGTTTAGATTTAGCAATACTTTCACAGAGTAGTTGGCAATGATCAAACTATAAGGTTACTGGTTGGTTAGTCATTTCAGATGAGTTAATGTCTCATCTATAAATAGACAGATCTGTGCAGTACATAACTCATGTTTGGCACATAGTAGATTTAAAATATTTTCTTCAACATTTAAAATTGACCAGAGTATTTGGCAAATTTTGATTGTTTGTGTGAACAAACTATCCCTCTTCCATATTTATATGACTCGCCTAATCACACAAATATAGGATTTATGTATACTTACAAGATGTATTCTGTAAAGGCAGACAGCAACAATGTGGGAACACCAATGAGCTGTTGAGGAGCAAGTGCAGTTGCAGGATGATATTCTTTGTCTGTCAAAGGTTACGGCCACATTGAACTGCGCCCGAGGCATACTTAGGACAACTACTGTTGCAGATAAGTGGAAACCTATGAAAGAACAGTTAAAATATGTAACAAAAATATAAAAATAAGCGAGAGACTATATTGACTCTTAATCATGTAATTACAGAGTCTCTATTGCAATGTTACTTACCAATTTGTAAGACATCTTTGACTGCTCTGTCTCTGAACAAATGTTCCCCTTTCTGGAACTCATCAGATGAGCCATTTGCAAGGCAGGAGTACAACCTGATGTCGTCTTCACTGTCAGGGAAACTCCAGAATGCAATCTGGAGTTGAAGTTGCTCCGGTACCGGTGGATAGACATGTTCAACTAATTCAAATGGTATGTGAGATGCTACGCATTTTGCTGCAAGTTCACTTAGTGTTGAAACTGTCTTTTCTGTAAAGTTTAATATACATTGTTTCATGTGAGTGCCACAATCTTTGCACTTTATTATTATAGAATATGTTATTATTTAAGTCCAAAACTTTTTTTCAATGTATATTAATTTTTAGTTTTATAGGATATTGTAATATTGAATAAATACATTTAAAGTAATGACAAGCATAGGACTAATAAGTAAAATAATAACATCTACTATTTCACAAAAGCATTTCATAATTAATAATGCAGTACATTTACACATTACAAACTACTACAAATAAGCATTTTTTGTCAATACAAAATATGTGTTATATATGATTTTAGTAAAACAATTATGGTCATATTTAATTCATAACACTATCACTTTTTTACTAAAAAAAAAAAGCAACAGTGAAAGTTAGAAAGTTGACTTGCACAAAAAACATCATACTCCATTCACTTAGGATAATAAAATAAAATGGCACAACATTGAAAACGCAAGGATTTGAACCCAAAGGTACCATTTAGTACACAGTTCATTCAAAGGTAAATGACTTGTAGCACCTGTTCTTTGTATCACTAAACACAATGTACATTCAATTAGTACCTATAGATTATGGCATCAAAGCTCTTTAATGAAAATATAAGCTGAATAAAGCTATTTATAGAAATCATGACATAAAATTAAAACAACATCTCTACGTTAACGTGATTCGCCAAGAAATCTTTTGCATTTTCAATAGTTAAATCGAAACAAAGAATCAGCTGTATAGTTACCTTGAATGTTCTTTTTTGTCGATCGGGTTCCAAATGAGTTCTGAAGGTTTGGCCTTCTCCAACCTCGCCAGTTGTTGCAAAGACTCTCAGGCTCTGAACTCCAGCTGCATAAGGAATCTTCTTCGAATCTCTCAGAATCCTCAAAACTGAAATGGTCAGCCTCCTCCCAGTCGAGTAGGGGAGACCCCACGTCGACTGGGGCGGCCTGTCGGCCCCCTTTGCCATTGCTACTTGAAGCCCCCGCCACGATAGTGAGATTTTAATGGAATTCTCTCAATAAACTGCTCTGGAACAGCACAGCAATCTACCACAAGGGGGTATCCACAGTCACTGAATTAACATAACTCTTAATTGTTTTGAAGATTTTATGTCACAAGATAAAAAAACTCAAAAGGATATAATGAAGCAAAATACATCACAGAATGTAAAACTTTCTAGTTTAAAATCAAACGATCTATATAAATTCCCATCAGCACAATAACAAATATGGCCGAACAACGTCCCATAGTACCATCATCTATCTATCTATAGCTACAACTTTACCAACTTTACATCTCTACGGTCTACCTTTTACATCTCTATACCCAATACATAACTGCAAATTGATTACACTGCCATCTAGTGATGAAAATGCAAAATTATATATGTACATAGCAAAATAAATAAAAATAGCATTTAAAAATTCTGTTCAAGATCAACTAATAAAACTAATTTCATATTGTACAACAACAAGCTACCCACTATATAAGTACACTGGGGCCTACCGTATTTTTGCACACTAGATGGTGTTAGTGTGATCTCTCTCGTTCTTCGTCCAATAGGGATTTAGCTGTCGCGGAGAACCTTACGGGTTACCGGGGCTCCGGCTCGACGTGCAAGAGAAGGAACGGGGTGGTTTTTAGTCAGTAAGAGTCTGACACTCCCTCCCGCCTCACCCAGGCGGGAGCAGACTTTCGATGATTTTACCCCCTTAAAAAATGGGATTTAGCTAGTGTCACCGCATTATACGTTCAATATTTGACAACTGCTGTGATTGGACTAATAATCTCTTCCTGAATTTGCGCCATCTGGTGACCTGAAATACGATAGCCCCCATTCAACCCCTATGTTTTTTCTATGTATGTACACTGATTAAGTACACCGAAGTTTATTGGACCGATTTGCGTACAATTCTTTTTTTATTTAAACTTTAAATGCATACTCCTAGGTCTCTACTTAACATCTTATAGTCCGTGATCTTAAGCTTTTCAAAAAAAACACATAATAAAAAAGAGGAAACAGTTTCTTGAAACAACGACTGCGGCACCTGGTTACTATAGTAAGTCTACGCAGGACATACACACATTAACACGAAGGACATCTATCTTTTTCCTAAGTCTGGTGACATGGTAACCCATTGCACACGCACACATAAATAACCCACGGACATTTTGATACTTCATTTCTAAGTGACACTGTGTTCGTCTTATATTCATTACATGCTCTGTGTATTCAACGCTGATGACAAGTACTAGTGGGTGGTTATGAACTCATGGCGTGATATAAGATATTTATCTTACCTTGTCGCTAAAGAATTACTGCATTTGTGTTAATTAGTCCTAAATCAAGAACCAAATTATATTAATTTCAGTCTTAGAATAAAAAAATACGCAAGAGTGCCTCATTTGACGAGTGCTCGCAAGTGCGACTGCCGGGCAAGGGGTCTCGGGTTCGATTCCCGGGTTGGACAAAGTATTACTGGGTTTTTAAGTAGTAGCACAGAGTTGAGAAATGTGCCCGGTACATGGCAAAAGGCTCACCCCTTTGTACATGGGACCCATAACATAAATTGTGAAAAGTGGGTGTTACATTGTACAGTGGCATTAAGTGCCGTAACGTGCCCCTCTGCAATCCCATTCGGAGTTAAAGGCGTGATGATATGTGGTGTAATAAATAATAAAGATTTTAGTCGATTGTTATTCTAACATCTGAAAATTATAAATTATTAAATATTTCTGAAGTGAACGCATCCTAAATTCTGACAGCGCTAATGACAGCCGAAGTTGAAGATTGTTCTCGACTTTTTGAAAATGCTTTTTTATTATTTTCATCCACTATGTTGCAAATAAAATTAACTGTGTAAAGCTCCTGGCTTAGAATAATTACATTCCTAACTACCTCTCAATCAGACTGATCTGGATCGGAAGTAGAGGTTATACATAAGTTGTAAAATTTTAAAGTCATTGCAAAATAACAGCACAAAAATGTTTTGTTGGGGTAATGCGACTTATCATGAATTGTGCATAGAAGGTCCGGAGACTCTTGATTTGGTAAGTAAATTAGTCACGCCTAATAATTACATTGATGTTTAAGTAGGGTTAGGTAAAACTGAAGACGGTTTGTTATTAGATATTATCGATAAATCAAGGTTCCAGTTCATTCATGATGCTGTTAAAGTTACTTTGACAAAATTAAATTAGTAATAGGTAAAATTGTCGTATTGATAGATACTGAAATGTACACTGATTCTTATTAGATTTCAAATTGAGTGTGCTACCTCTGTTATCCATCCTAAAGTTATTTTTCTCTTTGTATTAATAGGTAATAAAACCCACATTATCAAAATGGCGCGAGAGCAACCATATAAAGGCCGTGGCTGCAGGAGAGTTCCACACAATGTACCTGACAAATACTGGGCACCTGTATTCATGTGGAAATAATGAAGTTGGCCAACTGGGTCGCCACACAGACAACAGAGAAGGAAAAACACCTGGTATTTTTATACTTTATGTTTACTTTCTATTTAAATGCATTAGACCTTGTCGTTTCATATAGTACTTACCTACAGAAGAGCTTCATGAAGGCTCATAATGTAATATTTAAAAAATATTATGTAAGATGAAAGTAAAGAGACTGATGCAATGCAAGCGAACTATGTAAGAATGCATGAAAAAGACACAACAAAAACATATATTAGTTTAGTTAGTTTTCTTTATATAATATTCATATTAATTTATTGTATACTAAAGAAGTATTGTTTGCCTAAATGACTAGGAAACTTTAATAATTATTAATTCAACTACCTACTTTTTGTTTACATATTTATAATTTGAATAATTATAATGATTCTGTAATTAAAACTATTAATTGCAAGGAAGTTTTAATCCAAAAGTGTCAATTCTATAACACAATGAGTACACTCTCATTTTATTCCACTCATCTGTTATTTAGATGAAATGTAACACACAACACAATTGTTATTAATGCATTCATTCAAACATGTGATACCTTGACTTATGTAAATTGAAGGTTGGTTCTGCAGTTCTGTTACCTATTCAAATAGTGAACACTACATAAATCTGGAATATAGATACATATTGAGTCAAATAATTTCAAATTGTTGCCAAAATTATTATAATAAATAACTATTAAGTTACTGATTTTGATGTGGTATGAGAAATGGGGTGTAGGAATAATCAATGTCTACCTTTTAATAGTACAATATAATCAATATTACAGCTATAAGCAAATCCCCCCCCCAGATGTTAATTATTAATTTTGTTTACAAAACAATGAAAATGGAACTGAACACCTCTAACTGCCTTCTTGGGAGATAAATAGGTATATTTACAATAAATGTTACATTAAAACAATTTTGTATTTATTAAAGTTATTTTTCAGCACTAGTTGAAACATTTAAAGAATGCACAGTGTCATCAGTAGCTTGTGGTATACAGCACTCAGTTGCAGTAGATGAGTGGGGACAGCTGTTCAGTTGGGGCTCGGATAGTATGGGCCAATTGGGCAGCAATTTGGGCATGCATGCACAGGATAAGCCCAAATTCGTAAAAGTACTAGCCACAAGAAATGTTATTCAAGTTGCATGTGGA